GGATATGCTGCCTTTTTTTGGTCACAGATATCAAAAAGCAAAAATCTCCCACATTCTTTTTTCATTAAGTTACATAAAACCATTTAATCATTACAAATTTTTTCTCTGAACCCTAAAAAAGTGCCCAAATTATGTATTATATTCTATTAGTTGAATATTCAGTAGATAGAAATTTTTATTTAGTGCCAGATATTGTGCTTTACACAATTTTTAAAATTTTATTTTTAATTGACTCGTAATAACCGTACATATTTGTGGTTTACAGCATGATGTTTCAATACATATATACACTGCGTAATGGTCAAATGATGGTGTTTAGCATATCCATCACCACAAACATTGATCGTTTTTTTGTTGTGAGAACATTCAGAATCCTTTCTTCTGGTTAATTTGAACTATATATGATTATAGTGTTTACCATAGTCACTCTTCTGTGCTATAGAACAGAGTGACTTATTTCTCCTATTGAACTGAGATTTTGTACCCGTTGACCAATTTCTCCGCATCATGATCTTCTGCTTTATGTTTCCCAACCTCTGGTATTCTACTCTGGACCTCTATGAGATCCGCTTTTTTAAGATTCCACAAATGACTTAGATCATGCAGTGCTTGTCTTTCTTTTCCTGGCTTACTTTAATTAACACAGTGTCCTCCAGGTTTATTGATGTTGCTGCAAATGATAGGATTTCCTTCCTTTTTATGGCTGAGTAGTATTTCATTGTGTGTGTGTACCACATTTTCATTATCCACTATTAGAATTTCATTATCCAATATATAGAATATTATCCATTATTCTATTTTTAATTTTTGAGGAACATTCATACTATTTTTCACAATGGTATACTAATTTACATTCCCACCAGCAATGCAAAAGGGTTCCCTTTTCTCTACATCCACATCAGATTTGTTATTTTTTATCTTTTTGCTAACAGCAATTCTAATTGGGATGAAGTGATGTGATATCTCACTGTGGTTTTGATTTGCATTCCACTGACGATTAATGATGTTAACATTTTTCTCATGTACTGTTGGCCATCT